AGATGAAACATCCTGTTATGATGCCCTGGAGTTGATGCCAAGATGTTGTAAAGCTAATGGTGGTAAATCTGATGTTAAAGTAGCTTCTGGAATGTGGTAATGGATTAGTTATTCCTCTATAAGACTATATGTGGGATGGTCCCATATGCATTTGCCAAATCTAACCATATAACTGTGAGGTTCTTTATGTTGGCCTTAGCCACACATGTAGACTGTCATTCTCTTTGCTAAAACTGAGAAGAAGATCTTGCATTCGACATTCAAAAGTGAAATTGTGCGGAACTGGATTATGCCTTCTGATTTCTCCTCCTTTGGTACAAAACATCCCTCAGCTTTCAGCCAGCAAGGTGGTATCTTTGCCTTCCAAACTGCTGATGCTGATCTAGCTTTCTTGACTATATGTCCTGCACTTCTTTCCAATTCGGTTCCTTTCCGTCCATTGGTATCTTTGGTTCTGGTACCTCTTTAATTCTTTCACATGACCCCAGTGCTCTCTGTTGTTCATCCACATGTGTTTCCTCCGGGTGTCTCAACCACCTCTTTTGCGCTACGTAGTGTTCCTGGCCTAGTCCCCTCCAGTGTTGATTTGGTAAATCTATATGGATTTGCTATAAACATTGTAAATCATTACTCTTCTCCTTTCAAGATAGTTCTTAACTCACTAAGGCCTGCTTTTTCCTGGACATTTGCTGTTTTGTATTTTTTGGTTAGGGTATTTATTTCGCATCTTAGGCCTTGGATCTCGTTTTGGCGCCTATTTGGTGTTCCTTGTTGATTCTCCGTCTGTTTACTGCTGCACCAAATTGTTCCAGTCCTACTGTGTGGATTAATGCTGATAATGATGCTATTTTCCTATGTACATCTCCAACGAGTGTGTTGATCAGAATCTGTTCAAGGTCATTCTCAAATGCCTCCCATCTTTTGTCATCTGTTCATGGCCACTGTATTGCTGATTTCCTTTGATCATCTGCTGGGTCAGGATTGGTATGTGCCGGGTTTGTTTAAATGTTGATCTGGGTTTCCTCAGTAGGTAAGTGCTGTGGTGGTCATCCTGGCTGTGGTCCTGGCTGTGCGTTATTCCTGTGGCTTCTCATTCCTACATTTACCTTTTACCTGGTGGATCTTCAAATCTCTCAGATTCTTGCATACCTTACCACAATGACACTTGGTTATTGCCGGTAATTCTGTCAATGTTCGTTGAACTAGCCGTGTCGTTGCCGATGTATCCGCCCTGTTAGGTCTTTCACCCCCCCCCCTTTTTTTAGAACGCCTAATATGCATAAAATTTATATGTATCTTAAAAAACATTATGAAACATTTGGTGTCCATTAGCATTTTGATGGACATATTTAATTCAATTCTTAAGGGAATTCAATAACTTAATATTTGCTGGTAGACCTTAATACCAGATATCATAATATCGTCTTTCGTAATTACATTAGGAAGCCTGCTTTATGGAATATTTCAAGAGCTTGCTATAAGTACAAAATAAACTAGTTCTAACTGTCTGATGCTATTATCTCTTACAGTTCGAAATCATTAACGCGTTTTTAGGTGCAGAAAAATAGGACGTAAACACCATTCATTTCTTTCCGAAAGTAAATTAGATACATATTCTACTACTGTACATGTTACGTGAAAAGATTTCTTGCTATTTATCTTCTGTCAGTAACATGTAGTAAAATATTAATAATAGATATTTTTAATTATTATATCCGGTATAAAGTACATGATTGATAGATATTGTGATATAATTAAAATGGTGTATAGAATTAATCATATCCGTAATATACTATTGATAACGTTGGAAGAATTAAAAGTGCACAATTATTTCTCATTTGGGTAAGTCAATTTGAAAAGAGGAAATCCTTTTTCGTTGCACGAAAATCTTCTACTATCCCACATATTCCGAGAATGTAGGGGGGCAGATTGACGACAACTTAGAGGAAGTGAATAGGCACAATGGAGGTCAGAGAGGTCGAGAAAATATCCTTGATTTGGTAAATTATTTTGGGGCTTAAACTTCAATAAAACAAAACAAAGCATATTATTTAAGAAATGAAGTGGGGGTACATTTGGGGTTACAAACCATATTTCTGAAAAGGGAGGGGAGGGGGGCAACGAGGATTATGACGAAATAGATCATAAAATTCATTATGGTTTGGGTGTTCAGTAGAAAAAACAAACAACCAAGTGATTGTAAGGCAAGGGAAATTAATTAAAACCATAATGTTTTTAATACAAAAAAAGGAGTAATAAATTGAAAATGTCACGTATAGAATGAGATCAATATATTCTCACATTACAAACAGTAGGTAATTACAACCTCAAAGAAAAATGCATTGTATAGGCCTCCCCAGTCTACGTCTACTATTGAGCGTTAAGGTATTTCCTCGTAAACACTTTATAGAAGGCACAATTTTTGGCGTATTTTGACCAAATTTGGGGCCTGAATCATATAGAAAATAAATAAAACGGAAAGCAATTGATGGATGAACATGAGTTATTGTGCTTGTTCTTTAGATCGTAGACATTGTAGAAGACACAGACATCTTTCTGAATGATGATCAAATTGTTTATAATGAATCAAGTAGGAAAGCCAATAGAAATATAAATAAATCGAGAAATGGTTAATGAGTTAAGCCTACTATTCTTTTTTTTTTGGACAAGAGTTTGAGTCAAGAAGGAATGCAATTAAAAATCAAACAGAAAAATCGAAAAATATAAAATGAGTTACTGTCCTTGTTTTTTCGAAAAGCGTTTGTTTCTAGCTTGTAAACTCTGAAGAGGACCTGGTTCGAGATTTGGACGAAATCATTAGTTGTGAAGGAAGAGCCATACTGAAAATTTTAAGTTCAAAAGAAGTGTAAATGTTAAATATTTCAATCAGATTGCTACCGTTCTGCCAAATATTCTTATTCATAAACAAAGATACCAGTGGGTGTATATTGCCTGCAACATAACTTTAATGAATGAAATAGTAACTTTTTAGAAGAGGAAGAAGAAGTGTGAAAATTGTCGTTACAGGTGCGTCATAATATCCGTCAGTGATCTACTATCTACTTTTAAACTGAAATAAAACAAAATCCAAAACAGCATAGTTGAAATTCGCGATTTTACAGAAACACAGATGTGATTTGAATTAGTAGAGTGAGTCAAGTAGAGTGTCAGTTTCAACTTTAAGATTGAATCATCTTAACATTACAACCGAGCAATAATACCCTTAGGATAAAATCAACCAATCTTTGGCACGTTCTACCAAATAAATCACCGGCGCAGAAACAATATCTCCTGGATTGACACCATTTCTCCAACTCCAATTGTTTAAATTGATATCTAGGGAATTTCAACTCAGTAATTGTGAGTTTTTAATGAAGGGAATCTGTTTTATTACATCTTTGATGTTGATGAGGATTATTGAAAGGTTGAACGATCCGTGTATTATAGTATAAATCTACGTATGATGAAAGGTCTTATAAATTCTCATATACACCAAAACAATATGAGTACCTATATGCCAAACCTTACACTTGGCTAAGATCAATTGTATACTGACAAAGATTGATTTATTCTAGTCTCAAACATCTGCCTCTATTCTAAACTCCGATAGCTATTTGTTACAGTGTTGTCGACTGGTGAAGGAGGGTTGGTCTTATTTTGAGGGTGGGTTTTTTTTTTGCATATCCGAAGTTTCAGTGGTTTTAAAGATTTTATTTATTTTCCTCGAATATACTAATCTCTATATTTGTGTAATTTAGTCATATCAGAATTATCCCTCTAAACCATGTATATGTCACGCCTTCGCTTTTTTTTATTTTTAAAGTGGGTATTGGCGTCTCCCCTAATAAAGATGTAAAACTAAAAATCCGGAAAGCGTATTCCTGACGATTCTCAGGTGTCAAAATCTCCACCAAAGCGTTCTTTTTGGGGTTTTTGAGAACGATTGTGATCTGCCATAATTTACCTTCGAAAATTATATTTTTTTTAATTATTTATCTGCATTTTAGATTCCAAACGCACTTGATACGCAATTCCACATGGTGATAAAAAATTTATCTAACACATGAGCACCAACTGTGTAAATTTGCGAAGGGGTCGAATTTTTTAAGAATAATAATCGTCCGTAAGAGCCATTTTCTGCGATTTGAGACCCACCCCCAAGAGTTTTAAGAATTATCAATTTTCGAAAGTTTTCAGACTAGTCAGCTACCCCAAGAAAAGTGATTCGGGGTTAAAGAGTCACGTGATGGGTGGATGTCTAAGAAACCCACACCTTTGGAGGTGTGGAAAATCCCATAAAACAGGGCCTAGATATTCTGTTCAATCGACAACTGTCACAATAGCTATCAGATACTAGAATAGACACGTATCTTTCGGACTATGATTATCCCTGACAGTATCCGGAAAGGAACTTTATAGTAATGAATCATACACAGTGTCAGAGTAATCGCGGTAGACGCATTCAATGGAAAACATATCTGCAAACATCAGGAACAGTTTCATGTCTTCCATGGCAGAGTGGGAATGTGACCTAATGATTCTGGTTGCTTTGTAGAAGCTATTTTGATAATGTGAACATATTTGGGACTTCTTTGAAAATATCAATAATCACCATTCATCCATCAAACTAATTGTCATCGTCTGTCACATGAGTATAGATTTACCATATAACACTGTCTACAAAGGAGATTCCATAGCAGATATCTATTGTGAAGAAACTGCAACTCATCAACTCACATACTCATTTCACCTAAAACAGGAATAATTAAAGTCACAAGTTACATGTATTCAATTTTGCACAAGAGCCCGCATTTCCTTGATATTTAGACCACGTTTCAACAAAATCTGTAAAACAAAACTGTTTAACTGACCGGTTGTGTTTAGGTGGACAAATAAAAGGTGATGCAGTGCATTTTACTATCATTTATGAAAAAAAGGTTCACACGGGGTAACAAAATATAACATTATTTACATACTTTGGATTTTAAATGAAATATTTGTCACAAGTCTGTCACTAAAATAGGTGAAGATTGTTGAAAATCGAGCTCCGGGTCATCGTCGTCATATGACATTGAAGTTAAAGTATGGAATGCATGTATCGCCATTCTGTTAACACGATGTTCCCGCTCAACACGTGTATCAGGCATGCCACGAAAGAAATTATCCAAGGCAGCTTCCTCTTCCAGTTCCTTTTTCTCCGTTTTTAAATATTGTACAATCATCACTAGCACCCCAAAAGAATAGAACACCAATACTGCAATAATGTAGACAACTGCACCACTGTCCGTTTCATTACTCGCTAGTAATGAACTATTGGTTATAGCTACAGGATCACAACCTGGTTTTAATGCTGTTAAAATCACGTGGATGGATGATGTATTGTTGGCCATTTATCGTGTCACGCTTGCAGCGAGCCTTTTAAATCCTCCAAATAACGCCATCTGACTCTCACGACTAAAAGGTTGTACATATACTCCAAAAGCAAATTTTTCTTTTTTATATCGAATAACCTTAAAATTTTTAATATAAACCTGTTTCACTTCATTCCAATTGAATCTTTCGCTTTAATCAATACCGTAGAACTCGTGTAAATAAAAAAAACCTCATATCCGTTTTGTTCCAGATTATGAAGAATGCTGTACGATTAGATCTCTCTGAAAGAATAAAAGAAAAGGTTTAGGTGAGGAAGAGGTATAGAAGAATGTAAATATTTAATAAGACTTCTAAAAACATCATTCATAAATTTACACACGCATCAAGTCGACATTCTATCAAATATTTAACTCCAGAATATTGAATCACTATTGTAATAGAACAGAATGTGTGTGTCATTTTATGATTCTTTCATAGTTATTTTAAAACAATACTTTATTATATTCCTTTTATAAATCGATTTTGTAATATTATATCTCAATTGCTGTAGAATACTTCCACCGCTAATGCAGTGAAAATCTGAATAATTTCTTTAAGATTTTGTGTTGGAATTCATTGATATTCAATCAAGCTGCAACAACTTTTATAGGGAAAATATCACTCGGCAGTCATTCGGGCATTACTTAAATTCATGTTCCGCTTCAGCTCTGCGACCAACACATATTCAAAAAGCATCTTGCACCTTGGTGGAAGCCAAATATGGTATTAAAATTAGGGCTTATAATGTGGATTACTTTTATCTTTTAGACAATGAAAACAAAATTGAAATTTGCCCCATTTTTCCGAATTAGCACCACATGTAAATTAAAATCACATAAAAATCAAGTCATAATCAAACTCGCATGTATTGTACAGAGTACAAAGTCTACCTAGACATAGTTCTTTGCAGGAATAGTCCAAAAAGAGTACACAGTTGTACACAGTTCGAGACACTATTGTTCTAAATACACGGAGTAATCCTCAACATTAAGTACATAATTGTACATGTTTAATATTTTATCGATTCAATAGTTGTATGATTATCATATTGAATGGTGTATGTAGATAGCCCTACAAAAGAACAACAGGATTAACTATTATACATATCATTAAAAGTATGAAATATATAGACTTGACTTAAATAGACATTCGAGTAAGATATTATAAAATTCGTGAAAGAAATGTATCTCTTTATAGGCATGAGCCAGCTGCCATTGTGAATATAGCTTTATGAATGTGTGTCTGACACAGTTTGTCGGGAATTAACATAACATGATCACGAACGCTAAAATTTGTCTTCCGAAAGTGTTCGAATATTCAGTTTATCCAGAATTATTTTCTCTCTTGACTGACAGACGTATATGTGTGAGGTGTTGACAGTTTTAGAATAATAGTCTTGGGGTTATATCAGTAATGTTAAAAACTATGATGATATATCATGCATTTTCTGTCCTATGCTACAAACATAAAAGTCAATGATGATAAAAATTAAGTAAAAATTTACCGTTAAAGACAAGGAAAGAGAAGCGTGTCTCATCAATAACCCATTTGTTCCACACGATGAAACAACTACAATTTATCTACCTTTTTCGTCTCAGTTGCACTAACATAACCCGTTACTTGCTTCAACATTTTAGTACTAAAATATCAACCGATAAATGTTTTGTTTTATTGTTAATATCTAATGGACGTTAAACCTTAGTTAGTATATAAATGGTGTTCTAAACAGCTCGAAGGTGATTATTCCTTTAAATGTTCTAAATCTATTTCTATCACTGTAGAAATCAATGAAGACCTTTCCCAATCCCTTGTCATATTATCATTCTAAATATTGTAACATTCATATCTGTCATATATACAATATTATAACTTCTCTTACCTTTGTCATATATAACACTCAATATTGTAACTTCTCTTTACCTCTGTTATACATAACAATCAATATTATAACTTCTCTTACCTCTGTCATATATAACACTCAATATTATAACTTCTCTTACCTCCGTCATATATAACAATCAATATTATAACTTCTCTTACCTCTGTCATATATAACAATCCATATTATAACTTCTCTTACCTCTGTTATACATAACAATCAATATTATAACTTCTATTACCTCTGTCATATATAAAACTCAATATTATACCTTCTCTTACCTCTGTCATATATAACACTCAATATTAGAACTTTTCTTACCTCTGACATATACCATACTCAATATTGTAACATCTCTTATCTCTGACATATACAATACTCAATATTATAACAACTCTTATCTCTGTCATATACAATACTCAATATTATAACAAATATTATCTCTGTCATATATAACAATCAATATTATAACAACTCTTATCTCTGTCATATACAATACTCAATATTGTAACTTCTGTAACCTCTGTCATATATAACACTCAATATTATAACTTCTCTTGCCTCTGTTATATATAACAATCAATATAATAACTTATATTAAAAAGTTACCTCTGTCATATATAATACTCAATATTATAACAACTCTTAACTCAATATTGTAACATCCATAATTATATCATATATAACACTCAATATTATAACAACTCTTATCTCTGTCATATACAATACTCAATATTGTAACATCCATACTCATATCATATATAACACTCAATATTATAACAACTCTTATCTCTATCATATACAATACTCAATATTGTAACATCCATAATTATATCATATATAACAATCAATATTATAACAACAACTCTTATCTCTGTCATATACAATACTCAATATTGTAACATCCATAATTATATCATATATAACAATCAATATTATAACAACAACTCTTATCTCTGTCATATACAATACTCAATATTGTAACATCCATAATTATATCATATATAACAATCAATATTATAACAACAACTCTATCATATACAATACTCAATATTATAACAACTCTTATCTCTATCATATACAATACTCAATATTGTAACATCCATACTTATATCATATACAATACTCAATATTGTAACATCCGTAATTATATCATATATAACACTCAATATTATAACAACTCTTATCTCTGTCATATACAATACTCAATATTGTAACATCCATAATTATATCATATATAACACTCAATATTATAACAACTCTTATCTCTATCATATACAATACTCAATATTGTAACATCCATACTTATATCATATATAATACTCAATATTATAACTTCTCTTACCTCTGACATATACAATACTCAATATTATAACAACTCTTATCTCTGTCATATGCAATACTCAATATTGTAACATCCATACTTATATCATATATAACACTCAATATTATAACAACTCTTATCTCTGTCATATACAATACTCAATATTATAACAACTCTTATCTCTCACATATACAATACTCAATATTGTAACATCCATATTCATATCATATATAACACTCAACATTATAACAACTCTTATCTCTATCATATACAATACTCAATATTGTAACATCCATAATTATATCATATATAACACTCAATATTATAACAACTCTTATCTCTGTCATATACAATACTCAATATTGTAACATCCATAATTATATCATATATAACACTCAATATTATAACAACTCTTATCTCTGTCATATACAATTCTCAATATTGTAACATCCATACTTATATCATATACAATACTCAATATTATAACAACTCTTATCTCTGTCATATACAATACTCAATATTGTAACATCCATACTTATATCATATACAATACTCAATATTGTAACATCCATACTCATATCATATACAATACTCAATATTGTAACATCCATACTGATATCATATACAATACTCAATATTGTAACATCCATACTTATATCATATATAATACTCAATATTGTAACATCCATACTCATATCATATACAATACTCAATATTGTAACATCCATACTCATATCATATATAATACTCAGTATTATAACAACTCTTATCTCTGTCATATACAATACTCAATATTGTAACATCCATAATTATATCATATATAACACTCAATATTATAACAACTCTTATCTCTGTCATATACAATACTCAATATTGTAACATCCATACTTATATCATATATAATACTCAATATTATAACTTCTCTTACCTCTGACATATACAATACTCAATATTATAACAACTCTTATCTCTGTCATATACAATACTCAATATTGTAACATCCATACTTATATCATATATAACACTCAATATTATAACAATTCCTATCTGTCAACAAACTTGTCATAAACAATACTAGATATTGTAACATCTCTTACCTCTGTCATATATAGCCGTTCGGATGGGACAATAAACCGAGGTCCCATGTGCTACAGACGGTGCGCGTTAAAGATCCCTCGAAAGTTGTTACATCTCTTACCTGTGTAATGTATTAAATCTAATATTCTAACCCTCTGTCAAATTCAACAACAAATATTGTAACATCTAGTACACTTGTCATATACTATATATTAATATTGTAACATCTTTTTGCTCTGTTATTTATAATACTCAATATTGTAACATCTCTTATCCCTGTCATATATAGTACTCAATATTGTAGTATGTCTTTCCTCTGTCCCAAATAATTCTCAATCAAATTTATATAGTATGTCGTATATTACACTACCCAATGATACATTTATATTTGTAACATAATACCTTAATTTTAATTATTCATTGCTGTATACCCTATTATGTTACACTCTTTACCAGTTTATCACGATTACATTTATATCAAATAATTGCTCCCGTGAAAGATCATAGTGACCAATCTTGATAGCGAATCAACATGATATAATCTATATAAGATCATAGCGACCAATCTCGATAGCGAATCAAACATAATATATATATTTAAGATCATACTGACCAAAGTCGATAGCGAATCAAACATTATATATCTTTTTAAGATCATAGAGATCAACGTCGATAGCGAATCAAACATGGTATATTTT